TACAGGCATCTATCAAACTTACCTTTTCATTTACAGCTGCTACTTGGTTTGAGGACTATACAGAGTCTACTGTTGGTCTTTATATGTGTTGTTGATCTATTATTCACCTGTTTTTTGCACATGTTTCTTTGATTTCCGGCTTTCTGCATTGAAATGGTATATGCCAGTGTTTATATTTGGTATGCCAATCCAAGTTGCACTTCCTGAGTAGTTTGTGTTTGCTGACTTTTATTACTGATGAAAATCAACTAGGAACAACTATAACATCCTTACCTTTCTCAAGCATGCATGCATACATAAGTTCCATGCCCAACTTGGAATGCATCATGAGCAATGGATTATGCATCTTATAATAGGGCTGTTACGTATATGCATGGATCAAATAATGTGGGGAGTTATTTCATGTGAGGGCACAATGATTTTATATCTTTCATATGGTAGACATTTGCACCTCTGCTAGTTGTCCTTGTAAACCACACAATATTTCTTATTATTTCCAAATTTTTGTTTTTGTCAGCTCTCCAATTCTTGACTGCAGTTTTTCAATTTCATAGAGGTTGCATGTTTTCCTGTTTTTAATATCATTTTTATGTGAAAGTTTTGGGAGGCCATGTTAGCTACTTCCCCCCCCCCCCCAAAAAAAAATGTGCATGTTGTACATGTGCCTATCTAATGATTGTTGGGAACAAAAGTGAGAGCACTTTTTTTAAGTTAACAAATACCTAAGATGGAAAACTATTCAAGTTAACAAATGCCTAAGTTAACGGTGTTGTGTTAAGTGTACTAATGCTTATATATAATGGATAGTTGTTTATTGTGTTTGACATATTTTTGAATATTGTATTTGTATGTATTATAGAGCCACAAGAGAGCAAAAAAATTTAGAGATAGATCTTTTCCCTTTTATAAGGATGTGTTCATTATATTTGGAAAGGACCGAGCGTCCAGTAGAGAGGCGCTTGTCTCGATTGATGTGGTGGAGGAGTTAGAGAGAGAAGAAGGAAACACTGAACATGAACATTTTTACATTGATTAGATGACATGAATACATTCATGCCATCTATGCAGCGACCATCTGTGCCGAGGAGATTGGGAGTGTGAGGCTGAAGAAAAAAAGTAGGGGTATAGAGGAGATGGTAGTTGAAGTGCTAATGAGTGCGCTTCTCTCATTAGCACAGAGAATAAGGAGGCAACAACTATTTTTATTTGTGCAATTGGCATTGGCGCCCCAATATGTGACATGGAGAAGAAGATCTAAGAAGATTTGTTGATGCAGCCAAACTTTTCCACGAGTGAGAGGCTCAAAGCCTCGAGTGTTTTAGTTCATGACTCTGATCATACTAACTTATTTTTTAGCCTTCCTGAGATCGAGAGGACATAATTAGTTAGAGGGATATTGAGGGGTGATTTTTGAGATATATTGTTTGAATGATAAATCTAGTTGTATTACATAGGATGACACATGGTAAATGAACATATTCGTTGGATTTTTTTTTTTGTCTATGAAACATTATACCGGTAGCATTATGCAAGACATTGAAAATACGTATTTGTGTTACTCTTATTTGTTAAGCTAGTTATTGACTTTAATTATGTTTTCCATGAAAAAGGTTATGTGGTTAATTATTACATTTATTGAATTTGTCAAATTTTGAAAATTAGGTGTATTTTTAAAAGATGGCCCACATTAAATAATTATTGTAGAAGGGATAGAAACACATTGTGCAGTTTGATCGTAGTCATTGTTAGTTAAATGAGTACCATCCATAAAGGATTATGTACGACATTTATGAATTTCTATTTTTTTTTTCTTTTGTTGTTTGTTATTGATTTTTATTATTTTTTTGGTGAATTTTTTCATTTTGTGATTCTTTGTGACTTTATTTATAACACATTTCATTTGATTTGTCAGGTTTTAAAATTAACAGAAGTACTCATTGTAATGATGTATGCAATAAGTTAGAAATTCTATGATAAAAAGGTTATTTTGGTTAAATTTCATTACACTCCAATAGAAATTATTCCATCCAAACATTAGAATGGTAATACACATTCTATTCCCAAGCTTATTTCATTTTCATGTCCATTACATTCTTACTTAATGGTATTACTACGTACCAAACGTAGAATATGGGAGTGGTAATTTATTCATAGGTTTTTTGTACCAAGGATTCTCTCTGGCAAGTTTGGGGATATTAATTGATACGAGCTATTCAGGTTTGGTTTAGATAAAACTCGGTTCAAACTCGACTCGTGTTTTAAACAAGTTGACTTTGAACAATTTTTTAGGCTCATTTAGAAAAATGAGTCTAAAACACTCTGCTCAAACTCACAAAGCTGAACTAGTTGACTTTGAACAATTTTTTAGGCTCATTTAGAAAAATGAGTCTAAAAAACTCTGCTCAAACTCACAAAGTTGAACTCTTTTATATGTAAAATAGTTGAGCAACTTGGGTTCGGGCTTGGGCTTGGCTCAAGTTCTAAATAAGTTAAGTTTGAATAATTTTTTAGATTCANGACATATTTTTGAATATTGTATTTGTATGTATTATAGAGCCACAAGAGAGCAAAAAAATTTAGAGATAGATCTTTTCCCTTTTATAAGGATGTGTTCATTATATTTGGAAAGGACCGAGCGTCCAGTAGAGAGGCGCTTGTCTCGATTGATGTGGTGGAGGAGTTAGAGAGAGAAGAAGGAAACACTGAACATGAACATTTTTACATTGATTAGATGACATGAATACATTCATGCCATCTATGCAGCGACCATCTGTGCCGAGGAGATTGGGAGTGTGAGGCTGAAGAAAAAAAGTAGGGGTATAGAGGAGATGGTAGTTGAAGTGCTAATGAGTGCGCTTCTCTCATTAGCACAGAGAATAAGGAGGCAACAACTATTTTTACTTGTGCAATTGGCATTGGCGCCCCAATATGTGACATGGAAAAGAAGATCTAAGAAGATTTGTTGATGCAGCCAAACTTTTCCATGAGTGAGAGGCTCAAAGCCTCGAGTGTTTTAGTTCATGACTCTGATCATACTAACTTATTTTTTAGCTTTCCTGAGATCGAGAGGAAATAATTAGTTAGAGGGATATTGAGGGGTGATTTTTGAGATATATTGTTTGAATGATAAATCTAGTTGTATTACATAGGATGACACATGGTAAATGAACATATTCGTTGGATTGTTTTTTTTTTTGTCTATGAAACATTATACCGGTAGCATTATGCAAGACATTGAAAATATGTATTTGTGTTACTCTTATTTGTTAAGCTAGTTATTGACTTTAATTATGTTTTCCATGAAAAAGGTTATGTGGTTAATTATTACATTTTATTGAATTTGTCAAATTTTGAAAATTAGGTGTATTTTTAAAAGATGGCCCACATTAAATAATTATTGTAGAAGGGATAGAAACACATTGTGCAGTTTGATCGTAGTCATTGTTAGTTAAATGAGTACCATCCATAAAGGATTATGTACGACATTTATGAATTTCTATTTTTTTTTCTTTTGTTGTTTGTTATTGATTTTTATTATTTTTTTGGTGAATTTTTCATTTTGTGATTCTTTGTGACTTTATTTATAACACATTTCATTTGATTTGTCAGGTTTTAAAATTAACAGAAGTACTCATTGTAATGATGTATGCAATAAGTTAGAAATTCTATGATAAAAAGGTTATTTTGGTTAAATTTCATTACATTCCAATAGAAATTATTTCATCCAAACATTAGAATGGTAATACATATTCTATTCCCAAGCTTATTTCATTTTCATGTCCATTACATTCTTACTTAATGGTATTACTACGTACCAAACGTAGAATATGGGAGTGGTAATTTATTCATAGGTTTTTTGTACCAAGGATTCTCTCTGGCAAGTTTGGGGATATTAATTGATACGAGCTATTCAGGTTTGGTTTAGATAAAACTCGGTTCAAACTCGACTCGTGTTTTAAACAAGTTGACTTTGAACAATTTTTTAGGCTCATTTAGAAAAATGAGTCTAAAAAACTCTGCTCAAACTCACAAAGCTGAACTCTTTTATATGTAAAATAGTTGAGTAACTCGGGTTCGGGCTTGGGCTCGGCTCAAGTTCTAAATAAGTTAAGTTTGAACAATTTTTTAGATTTATTTAGAAAAACAATTTTACCAGACTCAAACTCAAACTCGCAAAACTCGACTCGATTAACACCCTACCAACAGGTGACCTTAGCAATTGATAATTTTGAAAAAGTCATTAGGTTGTGCTTTGGTAATGAAGTTTGTTAAGCTCTTGATCAAACTTATTATTTTTCTTCTTTTTTTGATCAGGATCAAACTTATTATAGATGGACCAGTTTCTTTCATCTTTTTATGGCTTCCTTTGAATTATATTCCGAGTATCATGGCCTCTATTCAGCAGTTTTGAAAATCAGACTATTTCCAATAAAAACTCAATCCTTAACTCAAATTTGAGAATAAAAAAGGATAAAAAGTTTAATTTGGTATAGACACCTCTAATAGGGAAACTCAAATTTAAAGAAATAGAAACACAAATTTAAATAAGGAATAACGCAAATTTAAAAGAGTGTAAAATATGACAATTGGATATTTAAAGGAAAACGAAATCTCACTATTAAAGATTTGAGTATGGATTTAAGTCTCTCTTAATTTGAGTAAAAAAAAAAAGTTCTCTTGGCTTGATATGAGTATGAGTCTAACAGTGGAAAAGGTTTTTAAAAAAATTTTATCCAAATTTAAATTTAAGTTTAAAAAAGGATTAGGATTGAAAATGATGTCATAAACCATGTTCACCTGATTAGGTATGCCATTTGAAGATGAATTATTTAAAGTATTTAATAATGTAAAACTTTGAATCATGTTGGGTGAGCACTACTAGAAGTCGACATATATAAATTATAATATTCAACATGTATAACATTTCTGCATCACCTTGAACTGCCAGAGAAATTAATAGATTAGCATAAAAAGATGGATAGAAATCATTTTTGTAAGAAATATATATATATATATATATATATATCAATTTCCAATAAAAATAATACATTAGTTAGTTCATGATGGTTTTCAATATGGTTACATTCGACCACCCTTCTACATACATACACCGCCCGTTGATTCTCTTCTCGGTATAAAATTACATGATGGAACAGGAGCGGGCGGAGATGAGGGAGACACCAAGATCACTAAATCTGAGAATTTCTCTGTTCAAGATTGTCGTCTAGTAAACTCCACTCTGATACTCAGGCTCACAGAATTCTCCACCAAGATCGTCACAAGCCTCTCCTGGGAACACCCTGCACATATATCAACTTAACAACAATTACAATTGAAGAGTACCACCAAGGAAGATTAAAAAAGGGCAGAAGTCAGATCTTACGTCTTGGGATTGTCGTACTCGAGATACTCCCTATCAACCTTCTCAGAAGAAGTCTTGGTGGGAGAGTTGGTCTTGGACTCTGGTTTGAGCTTTACTTCAGGATACATTTCTGCATCACAAGCTTCTCCTCCAATTGTCTCACAAGCTTCTGCTGGAAAAACACTGCCATATTGATTGCAGGTCAATAAAAACAATTAATTTTTTGTACAATTGTGAAAAATCAATATTACGTACGAAACTAACTATAAAATAAAACCCAAAAACCAAATGATAAATTGTTTTTTTTTTTTACGAGGTGGGGGAGCTGTAATCAGCGGTTGGGTTGTTGTCAGATGCAACAACTGCATCTGCTTTGATCTGGGGACCATATCGTGACATAGAAATGGACCTCCTCCTCGTTGTCAACGGTGTTGCCGCCGAGGTTTTGGAGGGTGTCAGTAGGGGCGGGAAGGATGGCGGTGCAAACTTCAAAGCTGTCTGCATTTTTTATCTATGAATTTGGTCTTAATTTGTTTGGAAGATATGAGAGGAATGGAATGGGTTACTATTTATTGGCTTAGCTCGGTGACATTGAAGGGATAAGGCCTCAAGATATTTATTGGTTGGATAAGGTGTGTGATTTTGACGGTGAAAGGAGTGCGTGAAGGAATGACAAAATGCTCGTCTGCTTTGTTTTTTCCTTCTTTTTTTTTTTTTTTCTTCCTTTTAGAATTAAGATTACATAATGCTTTATAAGTGACAAGTACACTACAATTCTTGACACACCAAGAGAGCAATATTTTCCAACGAAAATCATCTCAAAATTATATAATCTCACTATAAAGTTTAGAAACTCGAGAACGATTGTTTCTCATAAAAATTTGTGTACTCTTACCTGCCATATTTCGTCTGCTGCTTTTGTTCCTCTACATTCTCAACGTGCAACATATAGGGTAAAATCACACCCATTAGAATTCTCTCCCCTCCCTCATCTACCACTACGACACAAGGGAGGTTCATGATGAAAACGACTTCATAAATGGGAAAAGCTTTCAACTGCATTAGTCTGGCTGTAGCAATAACTGCCATCATCTCTATTATGTCCAACTACGTAGAATACACTTAATTTGTAGAACCTAGGAAGCCAAATACATTAAAATTTCTTAAAACTATTTTAGGCTTCCGGCACTGTTATTTTTCGTAGATAGGAAGATAGAAGCCATCAAAAACAACAAACGAACGATCAATTGTCAGCTTCAATCCATTTTTGTTTTACCCGAGGCTGTATAAAATTGAACAGTAGTTCAAGAATCAAGGAAACAAATGGTCCGCAAGTAGGTAGCCCAAGGTGTACATAGAAGTACCCTGTATTGAAACAGTCGGGAATTCATGTCAGTTAAACAACCACTGATGCTCACCCACACCCATACACTCCAGACAATAGGAGGGAGGAAAGAAAGCAAAACTTTACTTTACTTCGAATAAACCAACTGAAATATGAAAAGGTTACATTCATAGAAAAGCTCCCCATTCTAACATAACTAAAGATAAAATAAAACAATGTAAAAAGCACACAATGCCCTTAACCCCCCCACCAGAAAACAAAAAGGAAGCAAAGAACCAGATCAATGCAACTACAGAAACTTTAGGTTGAAGGCTTCCAGCAACTCTCACATCACCATCACAGCCCGTTGAACTAACAAAAGGGTACCATTTTGCACAAGTTCTTACAGACGAGCATGCTAACCTGCCTCTCTCGGGACAATCAAATTTGTGAACATCCTTTTCTCCTGAGAATCGATTAGCCCCCAAGTCAATGAAAATATAATTACACAAATAAGTGACACCTGCTAGCCAGCTTCCATATAGCTGGCCATCAAGTAGATCCTCTTTTTAGAAAAATATCCATTTGAATCTGATAATAGAGCAAGGACCTCATAATCATCAAACTTTGACTCCACTGCAAGATCAAGTGGGGTGTTACCCTCCCCGTTTATAGCCTGTGGATCAGCTCCCCTGCAATTGATACAGACCTCTTTAGTGCATTAGGCTTATGTTGAGCAATAGTAAATTTGGTCACTTGCGGGAAATCAAACACTTTAAGCTGAAAACAACTGATTAATTACAGAGCTATTCGTTTGCAGATACTATCAAATAACACCTTTTTCACCATGGCAAATTTACTTTTTTAACATCATCCCAAGGAAATGCCAAACCAAAATGAAAGCTATCTCAAAAAAGCCAAGACTGAGCAAATTAGAGACTAATGGTAGCAAATGCTGAGATGGATAAATAGATTAGTGGACCTACATCATTAAAGATGGTTTTCCCCTGTAATATTGAACTTCTTTCAGAAGACTACGCCCACATATTCATATTCCAATACCATTTCAGCAAATCAAGTGACACTATCTTCCTTGGTTGCTGGATTAAATCAAGGCCACTGTGCATCTTTAAGGGAAGTATAAAAACACCCCCAGTAAATCGAAAGCCCGGCCGGGGGAGGAAGTAGTACACTTCAAATTACATGCATATATTCGATATTGAAAGCATAAAAATTTGAAGAGAAACTGTATCTTAAAATAATAGGATTGTAATCAAATTTTGCCAAAAACCTCTAAAGTACCTTGAAAGAAGAAGCTTCGCAAATGTAGCTTTCTTTCTGAGAATACACTGATGGAGCGGCGTCTGACCTCTTGAATCACGAACATTCATATTTGCACCATACTGCAGAAGGAGCTCTAGCATGCCAATGTCTGCAGCTTCACAAGCCAGGTGAAGCAGGGAGCAACCATCAATATCCTCCACCATGCGGCCTTCACTTGTGTTTGCAACACTTGAAGAGTTCAAGAAGGACTTTCCTGATGTCTCCCGTATTAAGCAACCCGAGTTATGATCAAGGCTGGTCTGCTCTTGCAACATTACTTTGGCAAGTGTTAAAGAAGAACACGAAGATGCTTGGTCATAGACAGCATTCACATCTGCTTCATAGTTGACAATGAGACTGTACACAGCTTTCTTATCATTAGCACGGACAGCTTCCCACATCTGTTGCACCACCAAGCAATTGTCCTTGGGCTTTCGCACATAAGATTTTTCTGCATACTGTGATCATAATAAAAAGCATATACACTTAAATCCATAGTGTAGATTCATGGTCAATAGATTAGATGAAATTGTGTTTTTTTTCGAGTTTTTTTTTTTTTTTGGGGGGGGGAGTACAAATGAGGATACAATTACAACTCCACCACATGCACAAGCTCAGAGTAGTGAACTGTGAAGTAAGAAGTTATAAAAGACTATGTTAGCCATTCTAAGCTCATTTACCGAGTCTATGTGGTGGGATTTTCTTACTAATTCTGTTTCAGGTTTTGCCCAATTACTTGTACATTCTCATTACTGATTAAAAAATACGGAAGGCCACAGCTTAACCTTGAGGAATCAAATCTCTCAGAGAGAGAGAGAGAGAGAGAAAGAGAGGCCCTATGTCCACCGTAAGCATGAAAAGGGAGCAGGCTAACCTAGCTCCACTAAACAGGTCAGAGATTGCATCTTTCAGGCTTATGATGGGGTCAGGGTGGAGATTTTGATACCCAAGATAGACTCATGTGCAAAGAAATCTTGTATCCCACATCAAATAATTAGGACCACCAAGGTTGGTTTGTATACTTGAGGAGCCACTCCACCAATTGCCAATTGGTTTTGGGTTGGATGCTCTAATATGGTATCAGAGATAGGTCTAGAGTGGTCGGTGGCCCACATCTCTTACCCATTTGAATCCCAGTTTGCATGGTCGTTTGTTTGTTGACCCCAAGTGCGAGCTCGGGTCCCACGTGAGGGAGGGTATTAAGAGATCTTGTATCCCACGTCAAATAATTAGAACCACCAGGGTTGGATTATATACTTGAGGGGTCCACCCATTATCAATTGGTTTTGGGTTAAATGTTGTAACAATTTGTACAAATAATATTTACATAAAAAGACACCTTTAATTGGCTTAATTCAAAGAACTATCCTTCCAATAACTTTTTTGTGATGACAAGGGTAAATTCGATTGGAGTGCAATTGATAGCGACATGCGCATCAAATCCAAGATAGGTCTAGGTCAATCCAGATGGAGTTAGTTCTACTTGAGTGAGTGCCAAGCAAACTGCAAAGCCATGTACTATGCCTTGCAAATCCCATCTCTTCCACCACCCCCACCCAAAAAAAAAACTCAAATGAAAAAAGAAAAAAACATATACACAATACAATAATTTGTACATTACCATGAGCATTGAACGGGTAATAATCCTATTTTCACAACTTAAACAACACCCCAATCAAGCAAAGCGACAAACTCAGTAGATGTAAAACACGCGCGTGCTCATAGCCAATAGCTAATTATCAATAAATCAACGTAAAAAAACCTTGTCCATAGCGATTATAGCATTTTTGTTGTTACTCATTAGAAAAAAAAACATGTCTTGTCATTCTGTTATGAGCTCCTAACTGAGAACGCGTCACATGCTTATGAATGGAGAAAGCACAGGGATCGGTCTTTCATCAGCGACCTATTTTTGCTAGGATGCTTTGAGGGATCCTAGGCTGTTGGTTCGTTCGTGGGAATCAGACCTCCTTGTATCAATTTAGTTGATAGAGATGTAATTCTTGATATTTTATTTATAATCAAAGGCTCTATAAATACAGCTTACAACTAGAATCCTACTGAAAGAGATATCAAAACTTTAGCTAAAGAAAACTAAAGAAATTCTACTAGCAATAAAAATATCCTACAAAGTAGCTAGCATCCGATTATATTTCTTAACTTCCCTAAAAAAGAAGAAAGTTATCTAAACTACTAGATAAGCAATAAAGATATATCCATATCAACTTCCTTCCACCTAAAATCACCCTTGTCCTCAATGGTAAAAATCGGGGTACCAGGCCACAAACTCCTCCATTCTCTCCCACGTGCAATTCGTGGGAAATGTGCTTTTCCAATGCACCAAAATCTCCTCTTTTCCTCTAATACCCACCGGTCCAAAACAGCTTGAGGCTTTGGAATAATCGTTGTGCCATTATCATCAAATGGAAGCATCTCCAATTGTTCTTCCCCCGCTATCCCAATCTTCTTCTTTAGCAAGGAAACATGAAATACTGGGTGAAGCTTACTGGTGGGCGGCAACTGTAGCTTATAAGAGACCTGGTCGATTCTTCCCACAACCTGGAATGGGCCAAAATACTTTGTCGATAGCTTCTGATTCCTTCATTAAGCTAAGGTCTTCTAGCGATATAGCTTCAATTTAACATATACCTAATCACCCACCTCAAAACTCTTCTCCATGTGGTTCCTATTGTTAATATTTATCAATGAAAGAGGAAAAATGTATTCATTCAGAGTAACAAGAGTATTACAGACTAATTGAGAAGATAAACTAATATATACTAGGGAAAAACATAATAACGTAAATAACTAATCTACCCCTAAAGCTAATATACTGAATTACTCTAACATCCCCCTCAAACTCATGATGTGACAGCATCCAACATCAAGAGTTTGTCAAGGAGAAAACAAAAACGCGCTATAGTGTGAGATTTGGTGAAGAAATATGTCAACTACATAGTTGAAGGAAGATATGGGAGAGAGATCGTGCCCAACTAAAGAGATGGCACGCAAAGTGACAATCAATCTCTATATATTTGGTGTGCTCATGAAACACCGAATTATGAGCAATCTGGATAGCACTGGTGTTATCACAATACATAAGAGTAGGAGTAGTTAAGGAAATGCCAAGATCAGCAAGCAACCAACGCAACCAAACTATCTCTACTATGGTAGATGCCATAGCACAATACTCAGCTTCAGCAGAAGATCGAGCTACAACAATTTATTTCTTGCTTTTCCAAGAAATAAGATAATCACCCAAAAAGAGACAAAAACCAGTGATAAATTTACGATCCTTAGAGTCACTAGCCCAGTCTGCATCAGAGTAAGCACGAAGCTCTAGAGACAAAGAGGAAGAAAATAATAAATTCTAATGTAACGTACCCCAGAGATATCGAAGAATTCAAAAAAAAGCAAACCAGTGAAGTGTGGNAATTTAGTTGATAGAGATGTAATTCTTGATATTTTATTTATAATCAAAGGCTCTATAAATACAGCTTACAACTAGAATCCTACTGAAAGAGATATCAAAACTTTAGCTAAAGAAAACTAAAGAAATTCTACTAGCAATAAAAATATCCTACAAAGTAGCTAGCATCCGATTATATTTCTTAACTTCCCTAAAAAAGAAGAAAGTTATCTAAACTACTAGATAAGCAATAAAGATATATCCATATCAACTTCCTTCCACCTAAAATCACCCTTGTCCTCAATGGTAAAAATCGGGGTACCAGGCCACAAACTCCTCCATTCTCTCCCACGTGCAATTCGTGGGAAATGTGCTTTTCCAATGCACCAAAATCTCCTCTTTTCCTCTAATACCCACCGGTCCAAAACAGCTTGAGGCTTTGGAATAATCGTTGTGCCATTATCATCAAATGGAAGCATCTCCAATTGTTCTTCCCCCGCTATCCCAATCTTCTTCTTTAGCAAGGAAACATGAAATACTGGGTGAAGCTTACTGGTGGGCGGCAACTGTAGCTTATAAGAGACCTGGTCGATTCTTCCCACAACCTGGAATGGGCCAAAATACTTTGTCGATAGCTTCTGATTCCTTCATTAAGCTAAGGTCTTCTAGCAATATAGCTTCAATTTAACATATACCTAATCACCCACCTCAAAACTCTTCTCCATGTGGTTCCTATTGTTAATATTTATCAATGAAAGAGGAAAAATGTATTCATTCAGAGTAACAAGAGTATTACAGACTAATTGAGAAGATAAACTAATATATACTAGGGCAAAACATAATAACGTAAATAACTAATCTACCCCTAAAGCTAATATACTGAATTACTCTAACATCCCCCTCAAACTCATGATGTGATAGCATCCAACATCAAGAGTTTGTCAAGGAGAAAACGAAAACGCGCTATAGTGTGAGATTTGGTGAAGAAATATGTCAACTACATAGTTGAAGGAAGATATGGGAGAGAGATCGTGCCCAACTGAAGAGATGGCACGCAAAGTGACAATCAATCTCTATATTTGGTGTGCTCATGAAACACTGAATTATGAGCAATCTGGATAGCACTGGTGTTATCACAATACATAAGAGTAGGAGTAGTTAAGGAAATGCCAAGATCAGCAAGCAACCAACGCAACCAAACTATCTCTACTATGGTAGATGTCATAGCACAATACTCAGCTTCAGCAGAAGATCGAGCTACAACAGTTTATTTCTTGCTTTTCCAAGAAATAAGAGAATCACCCAAAAAGAGACAAAAACCAGTGATAAATTTACGATCCTTAGAGTCACTAGCCCAGTCTGCATCAGAGTAAGCACGAAGCTCTAGAGACAAAGAGGAAGAAAATAATAAATTCTAATGTAACGTACCCCAGAGATATCGAAGAATTCAAAAAAAAGCAAACCAGTGAAGTGTGGTAAGAGTAGCAACAAGCTAACTAACCACATGAACAGCATAAGCAATATCTAGACGAGTAGCAGTAAGATACACCAAACTCCCAACAATAGTACGATATAAGGTAGGATCAGGCAGGAGAGAACCATCAGAGGAAGTATACCGAACATTGAGCTCCAAGGGTGTGTCAACCGTTCGGGTATCCGATAAGCAAGCTCGTTGAATAACATCCAAGGCATATTCGGACTGAGAAAGAAGACAACCCTTAGGAGAGAAAGCAACCTCAATCCCTAAGAAGTATTAAAGTGGACCCAAATCTTTCATCTCAAAATAATCTTGTAACTGAGTTTTCAACAGCTGAATTCCCACATTTTCATCACCTGTAATAATCATGTCATCCACATAAAGTAATAGAAGAATGCAACCAAAATGAGTTGATCGAAGGAAGAGAGCAGAATCATGATCACTAGCACAAAAGCCTAAATCATATATGACTAAAGAAAATTTTACAAACCATGCCCACGGGGCCTGTTTAAGACCATATAGAGTCTTGTGAAGTTTGCACACATGACCAGAACTACAAGACAACCAAGGAGAAGGAGTCATATAGACCTCTTCAAATCAGTCACCATGAAGAAAAGCGTTTTTCACATCCATCTGAGATAAGCTCCACTAACGAACAGCTGCCACACCAATTATGGTGCGAATTGTGGTCATCTTAGCTACTGGAGCAAAGGTCTCATCATAGTTAAGCTCATACTCTTGAGCAAATCCCTTGGCCACTAATCATGCCTTGTACCTTTCCACATAACCATCAGATTGAGTTTTGATTTTATAAACCCACTTACAACTAATAGGGCGTTTACCAGGCGGTAAAAGCACCAACTCCCAAGCTCGATCTTACGTAACACAAAAAGCTCTTCGTCCATAGCCTGTTGCCAAAGAGAATCAAGTATAGTCTCCTTCTAGGAGGTTGATTCAGACAAAGAATGTATAGAAGTCAGAAAAGAACAAAAATCAGAAGAGTAACAAGAGTTGGACCAACCTAACCTGTCAGGACACTTTCGAGTGCGCTGAGGGTAACGGGGAGTGTGATCCACAGCGTCAGAATTTGATTAGGAGCCGAGAAGTGCAAATGAAGGCACAACATCTGTGGAGGAAACAGTTGAAATCCTGCGAACATAAATATGCACAATCGGGAGATGGGTAACAGACAAATCAGGCAAAGATGAAGAGGAAGAGGAAAGAAGATCAGCCAAAGTCATATCACCAACATAGGAATCAAGAGAATCATTAGAAGAAAAGAGATCAAGATAGATAAGATCAGATTTATGCAGAGATGTAGAACTAGATGGAATAGAGAAAAAAAGAATATACTCCATAAAAATCACATGGCGAGAGACATAGAGTTTCTGTGTACTAGGATCATAACACTGAAATCCGTTTTGTCCCTCACCATAGCCAAGAAAAACACATAAGGCTGAACGAGCCGAGAGTTTGGTACGATTAACACTAGGTAACAGAACAAAATATATACATCCAAACACACGTAATGAGAAATAGTCAGGTGTCTTACAACATAATTTTTCAAAAGGTGAGATACCAGAATTACGAATTGTAGGAATCCAATTAATCAGATAAACTGCTGTAAGAACTACTTTTTCCCAAAAAGAGCTAGGGACACTAGATGACAATAACAAAGAACGAGTTGTCTCAATAATGTGACGATGTTTCCGTTCAGCCACTCTGTTCTGAGCAGATGTGTCAG